AATATCAGGCACAACAGCAAACTAAAAATTAGCCAGAATTTAGAAGATTTGAACAACACATCAATTAACTTGGTCTAAAGGATATTTAGATACAACTACGCCAGACACATTAGAATTATTTTTTCCAAGTGCAAATATTAATCAAGAAAAAGCAATGAAAGTCATAATAAATTTTAAAATGTTGAAATATTATGAATTAAGACCAGCCAGTAGCATGATGGTTAAGGTAGCTGGATCCTACATGGCCAGCTGCATGGTTCAAGTCTTGGATCTGGCAGCTTAAAGAACACCCCAGGTGTGTCTGCAAGCATGCCCAAAGTCTCTAGAAGAGCATGGGAGAGAAGGGATTACAACATGTCTTTCCCCCTGAGGGGGACTTTCTTACTTTCTCTTTCTCTCTCTCTCTGTCTCTCTCTAGTGAATACACACATCCTATAGCAAATTTTTAAAACAATATATGGATCATAATATATGAAAACAATGCAAATAAATTGGAATTCAATATTATATTAATAAATTAACATAAAAAATACATCACACAACACACTAAGACAAGGGAAATAAAATGTAATTACATAATCAAAATTTTCTTACATTGTAAAGGAATTGTACAATGCAAATTCTGAGAAGACTGAAAAATCCAACATGTATACTTAATTCTTAGAGCAATGATACAATAATATAAAGTGGTAAAGTAAAAAATACTAGATTATTCTAACAGCAGATCAATCTAAATATTATATTAAATGAAGCAAAGAAAGAAAAGAAGGAAAATAAGATGGGACAAATAAAATAATGAAAAGAGCTAGAGCTCTACTTAACCACCGAGGTAACTTAAACAGAAACGTATGAGTACTTGGGACCAGCAGTTAGCGTAATGGCTACATCGCTGAACTACAATGTAGCCGACCACGGTTCAAGTCCCGGACTCAGTAGCTTCAACTCGTGCCGGGCGTGTGCGCGTGCATGCACAAGATCCCAAGAGGAGAATGGAGAAGGGATTGCGGAATGGCCATCCCCCTTGGGGGGGAGGGGGTGTGATTTCTTGCTTTCTATCTCTGTCTCTCTCTGTCTTTCAAGCAAGCACATGCGCCCTATAGCAAAAACCTCTCCAAAAAAAAAAAGAGAGAGAAATGTACGAGTACTCAAGTTGAAAAATATTTAACAAAATTAATACCCATTCATGATAAAAATTCAGACAATTGTAATAGAAGGGAACAACTATTTAGAAATCTCTATTTAAAAATTAAGCACACACTTGTAAGAACCTATTTAACAAAGGAAGAAATCACAAGGGAAACTGAAAGTAATGAATGGTAAAAAAAAATACAATATATCAAAATTTATGGAATGCAGATAAAGCAGTGCTTAAAGCATTGAGTATTTAGAAAAGACAGGGTTTTAAATCAGTGACCTAGGTTTCCTTTTTAAGAAACTATTGAAAAAGAAAAGAAAATTACACTCAAATAGAAGGAAATGATGCAGATAATATGCATTAATGAAATAAAAAGCATAAAAATAGAAAAAAAATGAACAAGGCTAAAACTTGTTCATGCAAAAGGTCAGTAAAATTGATAAGATCCTGAATACAGTGATCAAAAAGATACAGAAGAAAATGTACATATTGACAGTATCAGAAAGGAAATATGTTTGATCATTACAAATCCTACAGATATTACAACTTTGCATTAATAATTTTAACTTAAATAAAACACATTCCTTCAAAGATGCACGTTACCAATATTAATTCAAGAACTAGTATAACCTTTGTACCAAAGGCAACCAAAGAATGATTTTTATTTTTAAAACCACGTACCAAAATTCTTCCAAAAAACTAACCAAACCAAAAAAAAAAAACTTTAAAAATAATAGCAAATCCATGAGACCAGCAGTTGGCATAATGGCTATGTCGCTAGACTCCCATGTAGTTGATTGTGGTTCAAGTCCCAGACCCAGTGGCTTAAACTCATGCCAGGTGCGTGCATGCCCAAGATCCTGAGAGGAGAATGGAGGAGAAGGGATTGTGGGGTGATTTCTCGCTTTCTGTCTCTCCCTGTCTTTCCGGCAAGCGCATGTACCCTATAGCAAAAAAAAAAAAAAAAAAACCTCTCCAGAAAATTTGAAAAAAAAAAAAAAAAAACCGCTCCAGAAAAAAAAACCATAAATTAATAAGATAACAAATCCATATCCAGAAAATTTAAAAAAAAAAGAAAATGTCATGGCCAAGTGGAATTTATCCTAAAGGCAAAGTTCAAGAGTCAAAATCATTCAATACACTTCATTTATAAAAAGAAAATAAGGACCAGCAGATAGCATAATGGTTACGTCGCTGGACTCCCACATAGTCGACCGCAATTTGAGTCCTGGACCCGGTGACTTGAAACTCACATTGAGCATATGTGCATGCATGCCCATAATCTCTAGAGGAGAATGGAGAAGGGACTACAGCATGGCCATCCCCCCTGGAGGGTTATTTCTCACTTTCTGTCTGTCTCTCTTTGTCTTTCTGGCAGGCACACACCCCTATAGCAAAAATCTCTCTTATCTCTCTAAAAAAAAAAAAAAAAAAAAAAGAAGAAGAAAAGAAAAATTTATACAACAGACAGAAAAATATTTGACAAAATTAACTGCTATTCATGATAAAAACTGAGATAATTGGAATAGAAAGGTACAACTTTACAAAGGATATCCACAAAAAGTGACAGATAACACTGAAAAATAGTAACTGGATTTACTCTACTATCAGAAAAGATTTTTTCACCACTTCTATCTAGCATAGTACTTGACTTCCTAGTATGTGTGTGTGTGTGTGTGTGTGTGTGTGTGTGTGTGTGTGTATTTTTTTCAGGGGGAAGGGGGAAAGGTTTTTGCTATAGGGTGTGCACTTGCCAGACAGAGACAGAGAGACAGAAAGAGAGAAATCACCCCCCAGGAGTGACGACCATGCCGCAATCCCTTCTCCTCCATTCTCCTCTCAGGATTTTGGGCACACACCCCCACACCCCCACCCCCACCCCCACACCCACACACACGACTGGCGTGAGTTTAAGCCACTGGGTCTGGGACTCGAACCACAGTCAACTACATGGGAGTCCGTGATATAGCCATTACGCCAACTGCTGGTTCCCCTAGTATGTATATTAAGGCAATAAAAATAAATAAATATTAAACATTGACAAATAAAAGGTAAAACTGTCTTCATTTGCAGATGACATGACAGTGTAGAAAATCCTAAATATTTAATAAACTACTACTAGAAGAGAATTTAAAACTGTCAAAGGGTACAAATCTATATACAAAAACCAACTGTATTTTATATACTAGAAGGAAAAAGTGGAAAATATTATAACAGTAACATACTATAACGGACCAGCAGATGGTTATGTTGCTGGACTCTGTGGCTGACCGCTATTCGACTCCCAGACCCAACGACTTGAAACTCATACCATGCACGTGTGCATGTGTGCCCAAAATCCTGAAAGGAGGATGGAGGAAAAGGGGTTGCAGTGTGTAATCCCCCATGGGGGATGATTTCTCACTTTCTATCTCTCTGTCTTTCTCTGTCTCTCTAGCAAGCACAGGTGCACTATAGCAAAAATCCCTCTTTAAAAAAAATAATAATACTATAAAAGATTAAATCTTTTGGAATAAAAAAGAACATTAAGAAGAATATTTTTTTAAAAAGAATGAACTGATGGGAACCAGCAGTTAGCGTAATGGCTATGTCGCTGGACTCCCACGTAGTCGACCGCGGTTCGCGTCCTGGACCCGGTGGCTTACAACTCACGCCGGGCGCGTGTGCGTGCGTGCCCAAGATCCCAAGAGGAGAATGGAGGAGAAGGGATTGCGGCGTGACCATCCCCCCTGGGGGGTGATTTCTCGCTTTCTGTCTCTATGTCTCTCTCTGTCTGTCTGGCGAGCGCACGCGCCCTATAGTGAAAATCTCTCCAAAAAAAAAGAATGAACTGATGATACATGCAACAATATGGATTCATCTCAAAAACATGTTTGGTGAAAGAATACAGACATACGAATAAATAGTGTATGATTCTATTTATATGATGCTCAAGAACTGGCAACACTAATGTATAGTGACATAAATAGTGGCTTGAGGATAGACTGTAAGGGATACGATTACTTTCTGGGCTGATAGAAATGTTCTAACTCTTCTTTGAAGTATTAGTCACATGGACAGACCATTTGTCAAAATCCATCAAATTATACACTCACAACACATGCATTTAACTATTCCAAATTTTATCTAAAAAGAAAAAGAATCTATATTTCTGATGGCTATCCTATAAATACTAATTTCTAACATCAAAGGATGATCTGAAGTTTAATTACTCAATGAGTATACTTAGTTCATAATATAACTTGATTGATTAGTCTACAGTATATACCCCACCACCACCAAAAGTTTATGAGAGCAAGAGAGAGGCAGAGAATGCAAGAAAAAACCTTCTTTGTTAGATGTATTTCCAGCATCCTTGCTCCCCCTCCCTAGTTCCTTTTTCTCTGATATTCTCTCTCTAACACTAAATAAGGAAATAAGGATTCTCTCAGTCACTGGAACCTAATTCCTACCACTGTTGGCATATTGCTTTGAACTTTAAGTATCTTATCCCTTTGACCAAGAAGTGGCTCACCAAGAGTGGGAACTATTTTAAAACACCAAGTTAAGGAATGTAGGATGTCTTTAAATAAGACCTAAATTGCTATTATAATGAAAACTAAGGTCCAGAAAGAGGAAGAGTCTAGCTGAGCATCACCTCATGCTTGAGAAGGGCCCTTTCCAGCTGGCAAGAGTCAACTCCAATTGCATGAACTTTCACATCCTACAGAACTTAAATGTGCTACACAAAGTGAAAAGTTCTAAGAAACAAAGATACCACACCATAAGTAAATGGATGCCTTATGCTTAGGAGTAAGAATAGTTTATAGTTCACAAGAGTTTTTCAAATGGCACATTTCCTTTTCTTTTGTGTTTTCGATTTAAGGACAGGCAACTTTGCTCCATGAAGAAAGAACCTGCAGTTACCACACAAATCTTCTCTGAAAGCCTGTCCATTGGATTGGAGATGCAATGTGAACTCTTCAAGACCTCGAGGAGACAATCCTGGCCACACAACTAAGCGGAGTCTGCTGGAAGATCAACTCTATTGTCTCATGCTAACAGTAGTCCACACACAGCCTAGAAGAGAAGGAACTGTAGAAGAGTCTCTAAGACCTCTGAGAAACCACACTTGGGCTTGTGTCTCCCCAGTGGTTTTGATCCTCACTGGCAACGTCAGCCATTTAACCAGCTGGGAAGGAGAAAGTTTGCCCCTTTCCCCGCATGACTCCTGCTAGTCTCTAACACACGCACTAGAGGAAAAGCAATCTCTTAAAAGAGATGAAAAGAATAAGAAAGTAGATCATGCTGCCCCCATGCCAAGCCCCTCAGACCGAGAAAGGCAGGAGGAAAAGGGAGGACCCATGCTAGATACCAGTTTGAAGTAATCAGCTGGACTTGACTGGACTGGGCTTTGTTACATTCCTGAAAGAGGCCAGAAAGCTCACTTTCACCAGATATACCCAAGATATCATTGAAAAACAGCAAAAAGCAATTTGACATAGCACGGTTGAACAATAAGATTAATTTAAAAATCAAACTATTTCATATATGTAGCCAGGCCTCTTCATACTCAGAAAAAAAGTTCATGTTATGAAAAAATCACCTTGATTTTTTCCAAAAACAAAAGGGGGAAGGAGAGGAGAGAAAATAGTTTCTAGCATAGTGTCCTTAGCACAGACTACAAGCTGAAAACAAAGTTGGTTGCTGAAGCAGATGATGCTTGCCTAAGAAATCACTGATTTGCATTTGTAATCGAGATACATATCAACCTGAACGTTAAAATACATGCCCCAGTAATTAAAAACTGCCCTGGGCCACTCTAACTAGTCCTGGGAAAATAATGCACCAAGCACCAGCAAATAAAATAATAAAACACTCAAGAAAAAAAGGAAACAGGCTTCTAGATCCATAATCCTGTTAGCCAATCCTGACATTTACCCCCGAAAGCTCCAGTAAGAAAAAAATTAATGAGTTTCTAAATTTACCTCATAGGACTATAAGGAAGGGAAGTGCCCTGTATCTATTTCATGTAGTGTGAAATTCTCTCAAAGCTATCAATCTGACTAAACTGATTAAGTGTGAAATCTTTCTTTCCTGAACCAAATTTAAACAGGACACTTACAGAGGGTGAGGAAACATCAGGAGGCTAGCCCACAAGATTTTCTATTCTGACTCATTGCCTTTTCTTCTTATTAGCAAAACTGTAACTACAAGAGGTACCAACAGATTTATTCGGGTTTCTGATGAACTTTCATTGCCTGAATCTCAGAACTGAGCACTGATTTGCAGTTTTCTTACTGGTAAAAAAAAAAAATAACAGAACTGGGACTAGCAGATGACATAATGAATGGTTACATCACCGAACTCCCACGAATTCGACTGCAGGTCAGTTCCAGACCCAGTGGCTTAAAACTCACACTGGGCACGTGTGTGCCTAAAATCCCAAGACGAGAATGGAAGAGAAGAGAATGAGGCATGGTTATGCCCCGTGGGGGGGTGAGTTCTCACTTTTTGTCTCTCTCTCTGTCTCTCCAGCAAGCATACACACCCTAAAGCAAAAATCTCTCTTAAAAAAAAATGGTAACAACAGAACTGGGACCAGCAGATGGCATAATGGTTATGTTGCTGGACTACCACATACTCAATCACAGTTCAAGTCTCAGGTCTGGTGGCTTAAAACTCACGTTGGGTACATATTCATGTGTGACCAAAATCCCAAGAGTACAATAGAGGAGAAGGGATTGCAGCATGGCCATCCCCCCTGGAGGAGTGATTTATTGCTTTTTATTTCTCTGGCAAGTACATGTGCCCTATAGCAAAAATCTCTCTAAATAAATAAATAAAAATGGCAGAATAAAATCTAAGTCAAATATATACACAGACTTATTTTTTTAAATCTAATACAAATATATAAAGACCTATTTTTTGTATTTTTATATTTATCTAATACATACATTTATATAATAAAGTATAAATATATTTAATAAATATGTGCTATATATTAATTATCTATTTATAAGTATATAACATTTTATGTATAATATATAAAGGCATAACATGTATCTTTATATCTATATATACATATAGATTCTATATGTACATTATATATAAAAAAGATCATGAAGAAGATAACTAATACCCAAAGAGTACAGGAATGTATATACATGTACAAATATTACATCAAGCAGTCAGCACGCTAAAGCCATTTTAAAACTAGAACGTTACTTAGACTATTTTATCTAGGTTTAGTATTGGTCAGTAGTGTAAATATCTGTCCTAACTCCCATTTTTCACTCTTTGCAATGTGATGTAAATATAGGATGTTGACCAACATACCTAAAGTAGAAAGAAGTTAATATAGGACAGCAGATGGCATGGTAGTCAAGGCACTGGACTCACATGCAGCCAACCGTGGTTTGAGTCCCAGACCTAGTGGCCTGAAAGTCACGCGGGGTACGTGTGAACGTGTACTGAAAATCCTGAAAGAAGCATTGAGGAGAAAGGATTGTGGCATGGCCATTCCCCCTAGGACACAATTCCTCACTTTCTCTCTCTCTTGCTCTCTCTCTCTCTCTCTCCAGTGAGCACACATACCCTATGGCAAATACTTTTTAAAAAAATGTAGAAATCAACCTAATGAACTGGGCATTTGGTCTATATTATGTTAAACACTTGGTGTAATTTAATCTCTTTAAAAATGGAACCCATGTCAGTGATTATCTGTTCTACAACAAAACAACTCTAACTTCCAGAGATACTGAGCCATTGCACTCCATCTACCAAGAGAGGCATTCTATAAAGGCCTCCTAATAAGGGTTGCTTTATTAATGCCACTGTGTGGCTAGAAATGGATGTGTTCAAGGCCAGCAGGCCTAATAGAAGGGCTGTACCATAACAACTCAACGGTGGGTTTAAGCAGGCTGCTATGGATTGAATTATGTTCCCTCCCCACCAAATTCATATGTTGAAGCCCTAGACCCCAGAGTTATGGTATTTGGAACTAGGCCCTTTGGGAGATTCCTTTGTTTAGATGAGGTCCTTGCTCTCACTATACGGTTAATGTTCTCTTAAGAAGAGACACCAAAGAGCTTGCTTTCTGTTTCTGTCTCTTCCCCACATGCAGCAAAGAAAGGCCATGTGAAGATATAGCAAGAAGGTGGCCATTTACAATCCATGGAATGTTTTATTTCAGTTTTGAGGTTTTTAAAAAAAAATACTTCTTTGCTAATTTTCTGTCCTCCATTCTTATGGTCTCTCTTTCTGAAATTCTTATTAAATCTGCTCATAGATTGACATAGTTTTCTTATCTCTTATATTCTCTTTTCTAAATCATTGCTTTTTATTTACTTTCTAGAAGAATTATGTTCCAAATTTACCTCTGAATATTTTTAAGAGGTTTTTGCCTTAGGGTACATGCTCTCACAGGAGAGAGAGACACACAGACAGTGAAAGAAAAAGTGAGAAATCATCCCCAGAAGGGATGGCCACACCACAATCCCTTCTCCTCCATTCTGCTCTCGGGATCTTGGGCACACGGGCACATGCGCCCAGCGTGATTTTCAAGCCTCCAGGTCCAGGACTCAAACCCCTTTCACCCACAAGGGAGTCTAGCTATGTAACCACTATGCCATCTGCTGGCCCCTTTTGAATATTTTTAAGCTATATATTTTATTTACAAAACTGCCTACCTATTCCTTAGTTCCTTTAGCATAACATTCTGTTCTAAGTTAATAAATGTAATGATATATTAAATCTAAGAAACAAATATGGTTATTTTGATATAATCATATTTATTTTCTCTACCACCTTTTTTCAATTTGCTCATGTTAGTCTGTCTTCATGTAGAAAGCTTTCTTCAAATGTCTTTTAATCTCTGCCTTCATATTCATATTTACAAAATGAGGCACTAAAAGCCTCCTTGGAAGATGGAATGTGTGGTCTGAGCATGCTGCCCAGCAGGCTTCACTGAGAAGTCAGCTAGAAAGAAGGCCTCTTCATTTTGAGAGACTCTAAAATGGAAGACCTGGAAATCTTTTCATCTAAGATTCATTCTGTTTATTCAAAAGCTAATTTTCTGTTCACCTGCCTCAGAGGTATCCACTGTGGGGACCAGCAGTTGGTGTAATGGCTGTGTTGCTGGACTCCCATGTAGTCGAGCAGTTTGAGTCTCGGACTTGGTAGGCTAAACTCATACCATGTGTGTATGTGTGTGTGTGCCCAAGATCCCGAGAGGAGAATGAAGGAGAAGGGATTGCAGCGTGGCCATTCCCCCAGGGGGTGATTTCTCGCTTTCTGTCTCTCTGTCTCTCTGTCTTTCTAGTGAGTGGACACATCCTATAGCAAAAAAAAAAAGAAAAAAAGAAAAAAAAGAAAGAAAACCTCTCAAAAAAAAAAGAAGTACCCACTGTGTAGATTTATTGAATCTCCTGGTTTTCGTCCCTGTGATTTACCTCTGACCTCTACTGTACATGATATCTATGAACGTGGAAGCTTACCAGTTCATTTCTCCACATAGCAAACTTCAGTTCTTCTCTGAAAAAGGGAGGGAGGCTAGTGGGGAGAACTATCACATGACCGTGTTAGGTGAGAAGGGAGCCAAGGATCCAAAAGTTCCATGTTCCTCTGTAACATATTAGCAGAGTTTTCAGACCTACCTCACTGCCATCTTCTGCAGGATCTACTATTTCTAAGAATATTAGAAGTTCTATAAGATGAATCTACTTGCTTCTAGTTAGTATCCTCCAGTGAAGAATGGTAGGTGGTAACTCCTTCTGTTTTGCTAAGTTAACTACCACTCGTTTTGTTTTTAACCTTGCTAAACTTTATCAAACCTATTACCCATTGAAATAATACTTAATAATTTTACTATTGTTTGGTAGTATTTTGGATGCAGGGGAAGAGAATATAAAAGTGAGTCATCAATTTGTCATATTAAATTACATCACTTTTTAGCAAAAGGGGCCAACACTGTCCTCTTAGTCTCGCATACACAGCCAGGCAAACATACCTGGAAGTGGACACCACTCTTAGCTCCCAACTAGGACTCCTGCCCTAGGCAGGATTAGAAGACTACAAGGAAGCTCACTCACCCACATGGACTTGAGTCTACCTCCATCTATTAGTGCCATACTTTGCCAAAGACAGCAGGAACCTGGCCGGGGAGGGCTTGACACTGATACAAACAGCCAAGTTCTGATATATTTCTGCCCCTGAGCTTACTGTCTTCACCTTATGTCTGAAGCAGCCCAAAGCCTGACTCAACTTCCTGACCTGGCACACATCTCCTGCTCAGAAACAGATGTCTGCCTTTGTCTCCATGCTGCACCACCCACCAGGCTGGGGCTGTTCAGCATGGAGACCTCCTAATTGGTCTAAACCTTCAGGATATAATGATGGATCAGGAGAGTGTGACAGGGAGGAAAAAGGCCAAAGTTAACTGACAACACTGGCCTGTCTCTTTATAAGGCAAACCCAAGAACCTCTGCCCTGAATACCTCTGACAACTGTCACATAATGCCTGTGAGCCCAAAGCAAGTAGCCTGCATAAAACGGCAGGAACAGTCCCAGCTCCTACACAATAGTCGCTATCTCCAATTAGTGTTCTTTGTTTCAGTCTGAGTCCTGCCAACCTACGAGTGGTACCTGTCTGATCCTCTCTCCCACAATGTAGCTAACTGGAGCCAATCCTTTGCTTGTCTGAACACATATAGTATCTACGAACCTGCCACTGTGCTCTGTTCAATGGTAATTGATTACTGAAATTACTGTTATCCCTTGGGACTAACAGATGGCAAAATAGTTATGGTGCTGGACTCCTATGTAGTCAACCATGGTTCGATCCAGGACCCAATGGCTTAAATCTCACACAAGGCATGTGTGCGTATGTGCCCAAATTCCCAAGAGGAGAAGGGGAAAAGGGATTGCAGTGTGGCCATCCCCTTGGTGGGTGATTTCTTACATTCTGTCTCTACATATATATATAAAATCTGTGATCCCTACTAAAGACTAGTCCCTGACAAAAATCTACAGCTCCTCATAACTGACCCACATCTGATCCAAACCTGACTCGTCTCATAACTCCCGTTCAGTTAATACTACATGAGAA